CTCGTCTGCTGCACCATGGCTGGGGCCGGCTCCGCACCCGCGCCGCGCAGGCGGCTCCGCTTCCCCAGCTAGCCCCGCCGGGCAGCCCAGCCCCGAGCTCCAGCCCCCCGGCCGCCGCCGCTCCTCCTGCTGCCGCCGCCGCCGAGCCCCCGCCGCTCAGGACTTGTAGATCCAGCCAGGCTCGTCTCCGCCACTCTCGTGCAGTCCGACCTTCCCCCTTGCTTCTTTTTTTTCTCTCTCTCGTGCTGCTGCCGCCGCTCTCTATGAATGCAGCGGCCGGGCTGCCAGAAGAGGACCCCGGAGTTTCTTTAAGAAAGAAACAGGAGGGGAGGGGGGAAAAATCGCTGCAAGCCTCCAATCCAAGTGGTGCCCCCGTCTCCTGAGCAGTGTGTGTCCCCCCCCTTTGCCCCGCAGCAGTTGCTTCCAGTTCACAAGTGCTTGGCTTTTGTTGTTGTTTGTTGGGGGGCTTTTTGTTTTTGTTTGGGGGGTGGGTTTTTTTGAGAAGCAGAAAAAAAACCCACCCAAACACAGGCAAAAAAAAAAAAAAAATTAAAAAAGCAGCAGCAAAGCCCGGCCTGCAGGACTCGTGGCGGCGCACTCAGGGGTCAGGAGTTGGTGCAGGGACTGATCGGGCTGGTGCGAGGTAGGGCAGCCCCGTCCCCCCCGCCCCCCTGCAAAAAAAGAGGAAAAAAACCCAAAAAAGCAAAGAAAAAGCCCCAGTCCGGCAGGCGAGGAGCATGGAGGAGCGTGTGCCTTCCCCGCAGGAGGAGCGGGGACTTAATGCCCTGAGTCCCGGGTCGCCTTCCTCTGCCCGCAGCACCTCCGGGGAGAGCCGCGCACATGCACACAGCGGGGCTCGGGCTGCCGCGGCCTCTCCCCCCGCCCCCCGACACCGCGCACTCGTGTCTCCGGCTGCAGCTTAGAGCGGACCCCAATTCCGCCTCGCGCCTCTTTATCCTTTCACAGTCCCGGCGCGGGCCAATCAGCCGCTGTTTCCAACGCTTCCTCGTGCCAAACCCCGCCCCGCTCGCCCCCATTGGCTTGGAACCCGATGCAATAATAATCACCGCGTGCAATGAGAAGCTCCAAATCTGACCTCATTCCAATTTCCAGAGCAAACTTTTTAAAAGGGCCAGAAGTGCAGCTGAGATTTCTGAGCCTTGTCTTTCTCCCCCCGCTTTTTTTTGCATT